CTAATTAATTCCTGGCTACCTTTCTTAGCAAGTGTTAGCAAAGATAATAGGGAATGAATTGGGTAATAGAGAAGGGTGGTCAATTTCGACGAAATTGACCACCCTTCTCTATTACCTAATTCATTCCCTATTAAATAGGGTTAAGTCGCCCAAACCCTATCTATTCTGGAAAACGTTAGAGAGAATAAAATTGACGAAAAAAGGCAGCAACCAACCCACCAACCAACGCAACAAAAAGGCACAATGCACATGTAGACCCACAAGCCAACCCAAAAAAAAGGCAGCACGACCCTAGGCCTCAAACCCTAAGCCCTCAACCTTCAACCCTAAACCCCTAGACCCTACACTCTAGCCCTAGACGCTGTAAACTCTAAACTCCAAACTTCAAACCCTGAACCCCTCAGCTACCCTGAACTCCTTAACCCTAAACCCTGGTCCTGAACCTCGTGCCAGGCATGCAGAGCTTGCAAAAGCTTCCAATATGTGGGCTATAGTCTATAATCTAAACTCCTGGATAAAGGTTTGTATAGTGGGTTATATAGCGGACTATTGATTATTAGTGGGCGCAAGAAGGGGATACTAGGCTGTTATCAGGAGTTTAGACTATAGTGGCTATAGCTGCACATGTTGCGCAGGCTCCCTCGTTTTTTCTGTAACGGCTATCTGGGATGCTGTGGCTGCTTGGCCATGGGCCGGACTGCGTCAATTCACTGTGAAGAACGCACGAACACAGCTAGTCACGTCAGCTAGTGACATAGTGATGGCCTTAATGAAGTACACCAACGGTCACTGCAAGCATTGTAGTGATTGTAGTGTGCGAACCGTGAAGTCGCAAGACAATTCAGCCCAAAGTAACACAGACGGCTTACATCCTATTAGGGTTTAAGGGTAAAGGGCCAGGGACTATACTATAGGGCATAAGGCGTAAGCGTTCAGGGTTTAAGTTTAAGGTTTGATGAGGCCTTCAACTTGGAAATTGGTTCACGCACAATCATCGGATAATGATAGCTCATAACGTTGCATTGTCATTCCGCCCCCAAACGACGCAGTCCTGGGCCTTCGCAGATGGCGTACAGCCGCAGAGGTCTCTGCACAGCGATTGCACCGCCTTTAGCGTGTAGCAGCGTACAATTGCTTGAAGCAGATTAATGATGAAGCCTACCTGGAAATCTCGGCGCCGACAGGCGCTAGGTCGCTAGGCTATCTGCAGATAGCCTGGAAAACTCACTTCGCTGCCTTTTTGGCAGCTGCTGCTCCTGAGCCTACAATGCGCTTGGCCTCATTCAGCAAGGTTGGCTGCAGATCGGTGTCACGGCAAAGTAACTTCTGCTCCTTCAAGTCATCCATGGGCTTCTTTAGGATGCCACACGCGGCATGCTTGGTGCGTTGCCTCAGCGCAAACCACATCACACCCTCCAGCCAGAACGCCTGCGCCGTTCCAGCCATCCCTCTCAACTCATCGCAACGTGCCTGAAGTGGCTCGAACATCTTCCAAGTGCGAGCTGGGCCAAGGACGCCCATGATCTCTTTCAAGCCATCCAGATCCTGGCAACAAAAGGACGCAACAACGATAATCGATAATCCGATAATGTTGGACAATCAATGACTGACAGCATTCTGATGGAGCTACGGGAAACACCCCAGACTCTGTAGACTGTAGACTGAGTAGACGCTGGAGGCAAGTAACCCTAGGGCCCTAGTTGGACGAGTCCAGTCACTCTAGTGACTCTAGTCACTCTAGTCACAGTGTAGCATCTAGCTTAGGGCAACCTTCTAGCAAACCTTCTAGCAAAAGGCCACGGCGCGTAACCCGGAAACGCCTCCGACCATCATGAGCCTTTGCGCTGCGCCCGACATGAGACACAAGGAAGCCAGCAGCCACCAACCCAAGACAAAAGACATAAGCAGACACCTCCCAACCCAGTGCCCAAACAGCAGCAAACTGCAAACCTCTCCAGTGGGCACAGCAAATGCAAGCAGGCTCCAACGCAGTCCCCACCAATGACCTACTCAAACATGAGATTAGTGATCTAATCTAATCAAATCACCTGGACCTGACTAATCGAATCTAATCTGATCAGTTTAATCGAATGACTACTCCAAAGAAGATTTTCTCTGGGACGCTCAGCTGAACGGACGCCCAGGCCTAGTGGGAGAGGTTATGTGTACATTGATCTACAGAATGAAGACGGCAAGTGACTAAGTGACACACACGTGCACTGCACTTCTGAATGCCTTCAGTCCTTCAGCATGTCTTTGAGAGTGGCTGCCAGCCCCTCAGCGTCCAAGTCGTCCAGGAGGGAGCCAGCCACTTCCATGACCTTCGCGAAGCTGGGCTGCTCATTGTCTGGAGTCTGGATCTGTAGCTTCCAGCTGCTCTCGGGCAGATGGAAATCCTTGCACTGCTCGCTCAACCGCTTGCCTGCATCCACAAGCTGCTGCTTGACCATCTTCAGCCACGCTCCCACTTCGGTCGCCAGCTCGTCGCTGTCTGGTTGCGTCAGACTGCCGAAGTTGAACTCGAGGATGGCATCCGGGAAGTTCTGGTCGTCCTTAGCCTCAGCCTCCAGCTTCTTCTGCAGCTTCGCAGCGTCCTTGGCTGCCTTCTCCAGCTGTCCGCTGGCCTGCAGCAGACCGGCAAAGCGTGCTGTTTTCTGATCATGCCCCAAACGTTCTTCTGCAGACTGACCCAGCTTCATCCAAGCGGAAAGCCGCATCCGCCTTACCTCGACAGCTTTCACAAGCTCCAGTTGACTCTGAAGCCACGCCTGACCCGGGTGGTCTGCGAAGACAATCTTCAAGAAGCTCTCGCAAACGGAGATGGTTTGCGTGGGAACTTCCTCCTGTTTGACGACCTGCTGCGCAGGAGCAAGGGGGGTTCTGGTCCTAGCCCTAGCCCTGACTCTAGAACTCTAAGAGTCCTAGACTCAAATGACTCTAGTACTTTACTCTAGTGACTCTAGTGCCACCAACGCGCCTTGTGCGCAATCGCGGCGCGCAGCGCGCCCAACAACACCAACGCTGGCTGCGTGACGGGAACGTCCTTGGCGTTCTGCACTTTCTTGAGGACACCCAGCAGCTCGGCAATGTCAAGCCCGGCTTCAGGATTCAACTCGTACCGCTGCGCCATGCCTTGCAGCTCCTGCGAGCACAGCGCCTGAGCCAGTCCACCCTGCCACTCATCAAAGCAGCGCTTTGCATCCGCAACTCCCTCAAACTGTAGAAGTCTGCCCAACGCATAGGAGATCAGCGAGAGGTCCTTGACATCAATCGTGGACACGTCCGTGACCTGAACGTAGGCCCTCGCCAAGACCTTAGCCCGCTGAGCCAAAGCGTTCTCCAGCTCCTCCATGGCTCCTGCTCGAAGCTCTGAGCTGAGGTTGCGCAGGCAGTCCAAGCCTTCAGCGAACTCATCCGTCATGGTCACCTTGTCCTTGCGCTCTTCCACCAACGAGGTGAGCTGACGTAGACGAGGACCTTCCTTGACAGCCACAGCGCCAAGGGCCAAAGTCTCCATGACAGCTTTTTTCCAGGCCTCCGTACTTGTCAGCAAGCGCTTCACAGCATTGAGCAGGCTGTTATTGCCGTTGTACTGCAACAGAGCCGCAGCGTCACCCGCGCTGCTGCCGCCATATCCCGGAATGGGTGTATAGATGGCAAGGATTCCTGAACAGGCCAACCGAATGGCCTGGTAGCTGTCCTTGTAGCAGGGCGGCAGGTCCAGGTCCTTCACACCTTCCTTCTGGTACTTGTGCAGGAATGCCTCGCACACAAACGCGGCATGCGTGAACTGGTCCTCGGTCCGCAGCATGTTGAGGAGGGCGTCGTTGCCAAATGCGTCCACGATGCTTTCGGCAAGAGCCTGCAGTCACTTACACCGATTTTCATGATGCTTTTTCTGGAAAGGAACCAACAGCCCTGATTCACAAAGCCCTAGTCCTAGCAACTTGCATCCTCCAGCACTGACTCCGCTTTACTCACGCATATTCAGGACTCAGTCGTACTCCGTCCTACTCACCTACTCATACGCATACACATACACTGCACTAACGTGTACTCTACTCATTCTAGCGCACTATCCTCAACTTACAGGACAACACACATTCACTACCCGCGAAGGTAGTCTCTAGACTGCTACTGCTACTGCTACACTACAATCTTGTCACAGGCTTCAAGATACTTCATTGGACTTGAGCAGAATGCCCCACATCTGCTGGCTCCCTTCGCTGGTGCATCTCACTTTTGCCGGCATCCCTCTCACGCATGGATGTAATGCCCACCAGTTTGGCCTCCGGAACTCCAACTTCCCTTGCGCTACCGCGACTACTGTTACTACACTTGCACCGCAAAGCGCTTGTCGAGACACGTGGGCCCGCCTGCTTCTGCTGCTGCAAGGCCGCGCCCGTCTCCGAGGGGTTCTCCTCCAACTGGGCAGCGATTGCCATGAAGGACGGCTGCTTGTAGTCCCAGTCGTCCAACATCTGGGCCTTTTGCGAGAAGACGCTCCAGATCTCCAAGATCTTGAGGAACTCCTGCGCGTGCTGCTGCAAGATTGACTCATCCTCCTCATCCTCCTCTGAAGAAACCTTTCGCATGAGCTCCAAGAGGTGGCGCTCGGTCACCTGCAACTGCAACGGGAAGGGGAGGTCGACGTTCTCGTCAGTCACCATGTCTAAAGCGATGCCAAGTTCTTCGAAGTCAAGGCTGAGCGGACCTGTCTGAGCGAGCGCCATGGCGCTCTCACAGGCGTCCACAAACTTCGTCAAGGCCAACGCGGTCTTCACTTTCTTCTGGTCCTTGTTGAGGTTCTCCAGAATGGTCCGCACCTTGCCACGCACCACGCGCAGTCTGCGCAAGACACACTTGAAACGGCGAAGCAACGTGAAGCAACACTGACCCTGAGGCTGCTCTCCACTCGTTATGCCATGCGTGATGTGGCAACACATGCCACAAGCACTGGTGACGGGGCCTATTGAACCTGTTGTTAAAGGACACACTCCACTCGACGGTTCTGCGGCTGTTACCCTCTAGGAGGATACCAAGCACCAATGCTCATGGACCAGCGCATCAAAAGTTCGATAACAATTCGCACGTATGAAGCAGACATAAGGAAGTGAAACATAAGGGCATAACTCTCATAGCTGCAAGAGGTGGACAGACAGCACTGGCAGTAGACCCAGCACCCCACACGCGCCAGAAATCCGCTGCGAACACCATCCACGGAAGCAGCGGCAGGAGCAACAGCAGCTGCAGCAGCCAAAACGCCACATGCAGCCAGCCGCCAACAACAGCCAAAACGCCACGCTGCCGGTGCCCGCTGTCACCACCGCGACCGCCGCCACCTCCGCCACTGCCGCCGCAGCTCCATGCCCACCACCATCAGCACGAGGAAGAGCTGCCACTAGCCTTGGCCCCCTGTGATTTCCGACTGAAAACTGAAAAGCCTAACCTTAGCCGCTGTAGCCTTACCTGAAACCCCAGCTACAGCGACCTGCTCTCTAAACTGGGCCACCTTCAGATGGGGACACGGCGGCTACAACGCTGCTACACTACACAGCTACCCTGCTACACTGACACTACAATGCGTTGTCCTGACCCTGCGTGCAGTTCTCTGTCCTGCCCAGCTAGTCGTACACTCACGCTGCAACCGTGGCACGCCGTTGAGCTGGTTGCCTAGCTTCTCACCTGCAAGGATCCTCTCCACACTCAGCTTCTTGAAGCACGTTGGGACTTGCTTCAGGTCTTTGCAGACTTCTTGCAGGACGGGTGCCATGTCCATCGATGACTTGCTTCCTGCACCCAGGATGTAGACTTGACCACCTTCGGACTTCAACTCTGTCGGATTCGCGCTAACTACCTGGCCGGCTCCGGCACTCACGGCTGTTATCTGCGGAAGCATGTGCGCTATGCTGGGGCTACGCTCAATATGATGCATCTGCCTTACAATACCAGGTGGGGCAGCAGCGCAGCAATCGAGCTGAAGACTGAAGACTGAAGACATGAGTCGATCAAAGGACCGAGCAAACGTCGCATCTAACTGGCACCTACATTGGACCTGCTTGACACGCTCTGGCGCATTCTGGCGTTTGTTGAATCAGATGTTCCTGTGTGGCAGAGCTGGTTTGCATTGTTTCGACCTTACGTCTGCAATACAATCTTAGAACTTAGAACGTAGAGATTTGGGATGTGATTAGAGTCGAAGAGTCTAGGAGTTAGAGGTGTTACAGGATCGGCGTTACGTCTGCATCTAGAGAATCTAGAATCTAGAGTCCAATCTAGATTGCAAACAGAAACCCAACTTAAAATGCCATTACTTGTACATTGCATGGACTGGGGGCAGAAGCTCTCACACATCCGTTGGTGCAGGCCACAGGGGGCAAAGGGTAACTGCCAGCGGCTAAGTACTAGATTACTAGACATGAATATGTGACCCGCTATAACCGCCGTTTATAACTATAGGATTACCCGATTACCCCCTGCAACCCCGCGCCCCCCTAGTTTGAGAAACCACACATCAAGCCTGGGGAAGGTAAATAAAGCGCAGGCAAGTCTCGCTTCCTTGACACTTTCGCCTTCTGCTTGGCGGCGTTCACCCTCCTAGACAACGCTGGGGCTGATGCCTCCGCATCCACATCGATCGCGACGGTCCCAAGGTCCACCTCCTCGATCTCGCCCTGCTGAAGTTCTGCGATGGACTTCAAGTTCTTGCGGTACCCTGTGGCATCTTTCATGCCGACAGGGTTGTCCTTCAGCAACTGCTCGTAGTTGTACTCGAAGACGTTCTGCGGCTGGCTCTCGTGGATTTGTCGCGCGGCTTCCAGGAGCATTTCCTGGTTGGTCAGGTAGCAGGTCGTCTTCATCTGTATGCGACGCATACAGTGGATCTTGTCGCAGGACAGGCCTTCCAGCGTCACCAAAAACATGGGATGCTTCTTCCCTGTCTGGGACGGCAAGGAAGTCGGAGTTGCTTTCACTGCTGAAGGCTTGTGCCCTACAAGATCTTCGAACTCGGCTTCCGTGAGTAACCCAAACTCCATGATGACCGTGTACCCTCGGCTCTCGTAATCCGAGATGTTGGCACGTTTGAAGGTGGGCGCAGACGTAGAGTCGCCCAGGCGCGACCGGCACGCTTGCACAAAGACGTTCCTGAAGGAGGGCTTCTGGAACCTGAGACAAACAATCCATGTTTCCATGTGGAGTCTAACATGAAGTCTGCGTCAGGCTGACGCAGCTCAGGCAACGTACGACCCAACAGATGAAGTCAGAACATGCGCATCCAAGAGACTCTCTGCAACAGTCAGCCCGCCGCCAGCCTGGCCAACCCTCTGTCAAGGTCCTGACACAGTTCGTGCAGCCTGCCCGGTCCGCATCCGTGAGGGTAGCTCCAGTGCCGTCCCTGACTGCCGCCTTCAAGATCCCCCCGTCCATCACCTTTTCACAGGTAAAGCACTTCGGCCAGTCAGTCTCTTCGGCTTCCGGAGCCTCCTTCTTCACTGTCACACGCTTCCCTGGCCCTGTTTCTGTCTTGCCAGGCACTTTTCCAATAGTTCTCCGAGAAGCGCCGAGCGCAGGAAATGGCGGCTTCGCCTTCGCGGCCTTAGGGTTCACCTCCGACGCACTGCGAGCAGCGGTTGCCTTCCAAAGGACACACCACGCAAGCACGCGCACTTAGGTCAATTACCTGACAGCCTAGCTTAGCGGGGTTGACGGGGTCAAGCAACTCAGCCCGCCTTCTCGGCTGGCTTGGAGAAGCGGGGCGCCATTGCGCCCAAGCACGGCCACTACAGTAGCTCACTTCAGTGAAGTCAACACTGTTTACTGCACTGGCGCAAGACCCAGCCAGACTCTGCAGCACGCAGCGAGTCATCGGTGCGCACGCTGACATGCTGCTTGACACTCTTAAGACTTAAGACCCAAGACGCATGCAAAAAGGTGTCAAGGCACAGAGGCACACAGCTCCCCAAGCAGTAGACAAACGCTGCTTTTGCGCACGCGCGCACGCACACACTTAGACTTAGGCCTCAGCCACAGTCTAAGGCGCTGAAATTCCAGCACTCGCGCGCGCCCGCGGAAAGAAAGCCTGTCACCTGCATTCGGGGCGGCGCTGCCCGTAACTTCCCACGAGCTCCAGTGGCCCTGGCCACGACAGCAAACTTGGACGACTTCTTGTTGCCTCAGTCTGCCTGAGGCGTGCCTGCACTATTGGAGGCTGCGAACTTAGAAAAGTCTGCTGCTGGTAAGTGTCAATGAGCAAATGCCCCACTGGCTGCCAAAGTTGCTGCCGCGCCATTACACTGACAGAGGTGACTACACGCAGTGTGCGCCAGCTAACAGCTATAACATTGCAGCTGCGTGCGCTTACAAACACAAGCAGCCGCAATCTTATTCTGGTCAAGGGCCTAACTGGCCTAACTTGCTACTCTACAGTGCTCGCTCTAGTCACTACTCTAGTCACTAGAGTCCAATCTACTACAGTGATTAGTGAACACACTCCATCTACACTCTACACCGTACTACGTACACTGCCACATCTTAATGTCTGCTCGCACCCGTCCTACTCGTGTCTGGAGCGGCTACTTCAGGTCCCAAATCCCAAACATGACCCAAGAAGGGCTATAGCGGCTATAGGTTCCAAGACTCTAACTCTAACTCTAATTCTATTCTAACGCACAAGAAAAAGTGCTTGTTCTTGGCTGAACGAGGAAAAGTGTTTGGCTGAGCAGCTAGCTGCTAGCTAGCAGGAGTCATTGATTCTCCCCCATTCCAAAATGCGAGTGGTAGTGACTTAGTGAGCCTCTGGGTGTCTACGGCTACGGCTACGGCTACGGCTCCTGCGCGGGCATGTTGAGCTAGGTCAAGCTA